ATTTGTGAAAACCTTTTATATATGACTACTTCTCCACGTAGTCACCATAGCTGTTGAGGCATTTGTCGTAGCGTGGGACGAGCTTCTGAATGCCATCATCGTAGAAAGCTGCCACCTGCAATGTCTCCAGATGTCGAGTCTCTCAAGTCAACTAAGGCGTACAGCACTTTTAACGAAAGGATTTATTAGTAGACTATTTTATGACGTAAATTTTCCGTTGAAAAAATATGTCGACACCGTATGACCACTTTTCGAATATAAACCGTGAGCAGCTTCAGTTGAATAAAAGATCAGATCACTGACTGTACATCAAGACCCCACAAGTACAAGACAAGACAAAATGAACTCCGGTGTCGTTGTCGTCCTTTTCTCCATCGTGACTGCGACACAAGCGTGCTGTTGTGCGTAGTTTTTGAAATACCAGAACTTTGTCATGCAGTAAGAGTTCCGTTAGTGTGAGTGTGAATCGCCAATATTATGTTCACGTTTTTAGGACAAGGTGGCTGGAAGCACAGAAATTTGAGGCAAGAGATCTGTCAAGTCCTGTGTTTGACATTATTTTACTGACCTCATAAATGCCACTAAGACGCAATGATTACTTAAATCTGAGAACATGTCATATGTCATGAAAGGCTCGTGGTCAAATGTATAGAACCCAACGCTGCTAAACTGTCTAGATTCACCATGGACAAGACCGTACAGTTGACTTAACTGGGATTTGTTTAAAAATATGCTTACTAATAACCGTTTTTGTATCGATGTGCTTCTCTTTACTCAAAATGAAAAAAAATAATAATAAAAAAATCGCTTACTTAGGAAAATTCCGAGGAAAGCAATACAAAAAAAAAAATGCTTGCTCAATTTTAACTCCCCAGTGGACCCTGATGTGTGCGATGTGATAAGGGTGGAAAGTTGGAGCTACAATTACGCCAAGAAGGTTGTGGAAGATGCCTCATATGTCTTCAACATGACGGTCGTAGATCGGCAGTCCGCGGCACAATGTAATCTGGGAGAATCTTTCGGCTACCTGAAAAACAACCTTTGGGTGGATCACGGCTGTCGTGCTGACTTCAAAGTTTGGTAACTTCCAGTGAGCCCAATTCGGTGTCGTGTTGTGAAGGCGGAAAGTTGGAGCTACAAGTACGCCGAGACCTATGTGGTAGACGCCGCATTGTTCATCAACATGACCGTTGGGGATCAGCAGTCTGCGGCCAGTTGCGATCTGGATAAAACCTTCGGCTTCTACAATCAGAACTCCACAGTGTGGGTGAATAATGGGTGCCGTGCAGACTTCAACGTCTGTTTTGTCTACGGCGTCACCAGAACCACCACGGTAAACGTGAGCAGCTGGAACTACCAGTACTCCACCCAGCTTCTCAACACTCTCCCCTCCGCCACCTGTATCTACTCCATGCAAGTGGCCAACCAACAGTCCGCGGCTCCCTGCACTCTCGGAACCACTTTTGGCTTTATGGCCAATACCATGTGGGTCAGCGATGGCTGCAGAGCCGACTTCACCGTCAATTATTATATCGTTTAAGTTTTGTCAAATGCTGTCACATTGTCGCTCTAGGACAAGTTTGTTGAATTAAAAGTTAATCGGAAACCAACCCCCCCCCCCCAAAAAAAAAAAAAAAAAAAAAAAACTGTTATTGTTTTGATATGGTTCTCTTACCTAATGCGACTTACCTTTTCTGTTTTGGGGCCAGCAAGTCCTTCTTCTTCATGATCTCTGCGAACTGGACCTCGTGTTTTGCTGGTTCCATTATCAGCTTTGCCTGACCACTGCAAGAAAGAAGCATTTTCAATTGTTTCGTGCAATTTTCTTGGTACTGATCTTTGCAGTAAGTTGGACCAAGTAACAGTTATGTGTCTAGAACAATGGCCACCGTTTTATTTACTACTGAGAAATCTTGACCAAATTTTTAAAGCACATTTGGGAGATGGGAGTATAACTCATGACTGGCGAGTTTGCAGGGCCCAACCCTTCACAGGAACAGATGAGAGAGGTGGGAAAAGGGAGCCAAGGGTATAATATGCCTGAAACTATTTTGTATTCATCAAACATCGTTTTGTTAGTGCTGCAACCAACATAAATATAATGACAAATAGTATTATGAAATAAGTCTCCATGTTACAGGTGTAGCGGGCATTACCTCAATATGAAAACGAGGCCTGTGACTGGGGCGCCCTGCTGCACAATGACAGCCCCGTAGGGGAAGACTTCCTTCCGGAGGCTCATCTCGAGCAGACCCCGGAACTTGGTGTTCCAGCCGTGGAAGAGAGAACAGCCGTCCACGAAGTCTCGCTTCTCTTCGTACTCGGCGACTTGGCTGGCCTGGGGAGGAACAAGCTCAACTGTGACATATTTAGGAAACGTGTCCTAATTACGACCTACCAAACAGAAGTTACATGTATTATAATCACCCTACATTCCCAAGGTCTACCCGTAATGGCTATCCTAAATTATTACCTAAATCCTCATCTGTCCCTTATACATGTACTATGTTTATATAGGTGTTCCTTTTCGTACATTGACAAAACCTAATGGTCAGCAGAATTAGCGGTATAACGGGGGACGGTACAAAGAGGTTTGACCGTATTAGAGCCCGACGTTTAAACAGTCGTAGTAGCCTCAACCATTTTGAATATGGGGTAGGGGTAGTTGAGGTATTTATAATAAATGTTAACCAAAGGAGAAACTAAACGGCTGAGGGAAAAACTCGACAAAGACAAAAGCCCAGCGAATGTCACCTTCATATAGGTGTTGAAGAGGTCCCTGTGTATGACGAGCAGGTCACTCTCCACGTCAGAGATGATGCTGGCGTTCCGGACGCAGTTGTCACTGATCAGGGCAATCTCACCGAAACTTTTACCTGCCTCTGAAGTGATATAAGGAAAAAAATCAGCTTCTTTCAAAGTCCGCAAAAAGTCTCTTTCTCTCTCTCTATTTCTCTCCTTCCCCCTCCCCTCTCTCTCTCTCTCTCTCTCTCTCTCTCTCTCTCTCTCTCTCTCTCTCTCTCTCTCTCTCTCTCTCTCTCTCTCTTTTTTTTCTCTTGCAGATAAAAACAAACAAACAAACAAGCACACAAACAAACAAACAAAAATAAATAAACAAACAAACAATCAGACAAACAAACCTCAATAGAACCATTTTCTTGATATGTGTATTTGTAACAAGCAATTTAGTCACAAACTATCCCCATTACCGTAACACAAATTATCTCCACTTCCTTAACACAAATAACCTCCATTACCTAAAGAGCGTCAATCTTCTCACCAATCTCAGAATAGTTCTACTAGTGTGTCCACTTTTTACATAATACATTATGAATGTTCCTGGGCGTTATTTCTCCATCATACCTCTCTCCCCGTCCTTTGCTGACTTGTAATGCGCCCAGTAGGCTCCACATACATACACGCACACACGAACAAATCTTTAAAAATGAAACACAACCAGAAATGAAGCGAGGTAGAGCACTACGGAACCACGTTGTCTTTTTGCTGAAGCAATATCGGGCTCTGTTCGAGTCCATTAAGTTACGTGTCGAATCCTTAACATTACACTAAAACCAGCCCCTCTCCCCCTGCACAACTTGCTTTGTAAGTACCCATCAATAAATAATGTGGAGGTTACCGTGTCTAAAGGCAAAAATGATTGCTAATAATCGGCTTTGGGGAAAAAAAGCTATAGCAACAAAAAAAAGCCTGGGTCCGGAAAAATGCAATTTGGGTTACACTTATTATGTCATGCTAGAATTGGCAGAGAAATGATTGGAAATGCATGTAGTCCCTTTCCATTTCCCTGAAAAAAGGAGTGGGGGG